CCAACTCATTCGTTTGTGGTACTAATTTTTTTCTTTCCAGACGCATCCACTTTTTTATGTGCAGTGTCACTAAACACAAGTAAGAGTTTTTTCTTTGACAGTACATGTTACATGCACAGAAAAAAATAAATTTAACTTTTTCAATGTTATAAACTTTGCATTATTTTACTGTATGGTAAATGCACATCATTTTTTTTAAACAAAAAATGCTGATTTGGTACATTTTATTCGACATGGTTCTTAGCGTTCTTATTTTCTTTTCCAGGTGCGACGGGCACTGGAAAAGAAACAAACGAAGCACGGGATCCAACGAACATCACCAAGGAAGCTATGTACAAACACCTATTAGCATAGGCAGACAAACCAGTAGGCACGCCACCAAGCCGCTCGGAAGATTTTTTCACCCGAAACGGAACCATCGAGATTAAAAATGATAAACTCAACAAGAGGTTTAAAGTGAATACAGGAGTGGGGCAAGGACGCCTATTATCATCAATGATATTCATGATTGTGATGAACTGGATTACGCATCAGGCAGCCTGATGTGAGTGAGAAGAGAGGAATACGCTGCAATGAACGATAAGAAGAATCTCAAAGATCTGGATTTCGCGCCTGGATGAATTCTATTTAATGTCACACATACTTGAAGACTTGCAGGCGAAAACCAACAAGCTTGCTCAAGAGGCAGACAGCGAAGACGGGACTCCAGGTGAACTAAGAGAAGATGGAGATGATGAAGATAACCAACAAACAGCAACAACAACAACCAGCACCAATAGCCATCAACGGGAGAGGTCTGATGGAGGTTGCTTCATTCCCTTTTCTAGGAATCATTGTTCAAACTCCATGCGGAACGGATGGAGATGTCAAAGCTAGGCATGTAGAATCGGAAAGGCAAGACAAGCATTCATCAAAATGAAGCCAGTTTGGAAATCTCCTGCACTCCACAGCATAAAGAACAAGATTCGGTTTCTCAACACGAGTGTGAAGTCGGTCCTTCTATACGGGTCAGAAATTTGGTGGACGCGTCACGAAAAGCATTTTCAGCAGATTACAGACTTTTATCAACACTTACCGTCACTGGCTCCATACTAAAGATCAGATGGCCGATCAGAAAGAATTAGTAACAAGAAACTGTGGAAACAAACCAACCAAGAACCTAACATTCAACAAATATGGAGGAGAAAATAGAGGTGGATAGAGCATACGTTGAGGAGGCCATAGAGTGACATCGTACACAATGTAGGCTATTGGTCGAGTTTTACCCGAGTGAGGAACGACAAGTGGGTCGTCCGTGCGAGGGTGACATGGAGGAGAACTTGATAGAAGTAGATAAGAGGTTATGAGCGATCATGGGCACGGCTGAAGGGGAGAGCAGAAAATAGAACAAAGTGTAAATGTGTTGTTGAAGCCCTATGTTCTACTCATAACCGAAAGGAACAATAACAAACCGAGTCGTTGCTCTCTCAGTAGCATACTTAACCTGTTAGTATTTATAACGTAAAATAAATCGGGAAGATTGACTTGATTGGTTATAGACTGGTAACAGTTATACATTCAAACAGAATACGGGTTAAGGTTATTTCACTAACGTGGCTGAGCTAAGGACTATGAGAATCTGCCTTTCAGCAGTACAAAGAAGATGAACATTAGCGCAGAAGTCTGTCTGGCTGCTTACTCCTTAGAATAAAACTGAAAATAGTATAACTGCCTGGAGGAAAAGTCATTTATCTTAGGTCTAGTGAATTTTGGTGCCAGGAATTCGCTATAAAAGTTTGAAAGCTACAGATTCTCTCCATTCCGCTGACTTTATGGTACAGATCGTGACTTCAAACAGTTAACAAACTATATTCTGAGTATTTTTGATTTTCAGAGGAAACACTAATGAAGTTCCTCCTGAAAGGTGGTTGCGACTGTCATTGGCTCCTGAAGGAAAATCAGTACTTTTTAATTTATTTTAATCTTGACATCTATGAGAAATTATCGATTCAGTAATATTCTGGGCCGGTCGATTCAATAATACTGCAATGAACCATCCTTTAACACTGACTAATTAAATCTATGTGAACGAGTTTCCTTGATTTTAGAAACTTTTACGGAGAAAACGATAAATCATTGACCAATTAACGACAAATCTTAAAACGCTTTGACAAGAAATCAAGAAGATGGGACCACAGTCTAAGTAATATGACATTACATTCTACAATAATAGAGTCCACTTGCTCTTCGAACCACTCTCAATAATGATTTAAGCATATGTTAAACGATTTATGTATTCGATACATCAGAAATTTTAAATTTACCTCCTTACTGGGAATCCAAGTGTTCCAGCCTGAACCCAATAGACCCATAATAAAAACGTCCTTGTAAGTGTTAGGTTAAACTTAAGATAGACCTCAAATAACCGCACTTACTAAATACTTCACCGCTTAATAACCTTATTAGTACTCTACCTAGCGTGTAAGTACTGGCGAACGAAATCAAAGTAAAAGACTTGAAATGGGAAGTGCGTCTGGGATGGAGTTGTATTTTACACAAATGAAATATCAATTTTAATAAATAAGGATGTTATACAAGTTATCTGATGCCTTGACTGCGTGGTAAGCTAGAAGAGTGCGCCGAATGAAAGCACAACAAGGGAGCCAACCAAGTACGTACAGTCGCATCGCAAAGTGGGTGAATGCGTTGTAACAAAAGTTCGAAGTTTGAAGGTACTCCACATCTTCACTGATTTTAAACTAAACAGTTATCTCATATTTCTTAAGATATACATTGGTAAGTTAAGAAAAGACTTCAAAAATACTAGTTAATAAATAAAGTTACTTCATAATCCTTCAAGATAACAGATAGAATTTTCTGAACACTATAAGACTTCATGTCAGTCTTCAGGGTCTTACAATGAATGAATTTCACTAGTATGACACTTCCACAATTAGAAGACAGAAGGATTGAGCAAAGAGATATTTACTTTTCAGTTAGATCCTCACCTCTGGCTCTACTCTAATGTATAGAGCATTTTTATTACAATCCCAAAATCTTACCAATCAAGTGGCGGTATGTTTGTTAATGATAATTAGTCAGTGTCAACATGTCAATGGGGTGATAATTAAGAAATAAAATTAATACACACAATTAAAAGATAGAAACTTCAACAATTACTCAAACTACTAACAATACACAGCTACCTAAAACTGTATTACCAATCATGTGAAGGCATAAAAGGCTGTTTAGTGGCAAATTTATTTCTTGTTTTCTATTCCATTACATTTTTGATATTATACTGACTAAAGAATATCAGTCAAATATGTTTTTATAGAAATGAGCAAAGTTCAACTCATCAGAAGTATTGACTTCTGTAAAATAATAAGTAATCTAGTATATAACTCTGTTTAAAGCTAACCTTTACATTACTAATTCATTTTGTGGTATAATGTGGTGAGTAATACCTAGATGAGATACAGAGTATTAAGTACTGAGGGTAAATCAATCGAAAAAAGTGTGAAGTCTCATCGGCTGAGATGGCTAGGATATGTGTTCCGCATACTTAGCTGTTGCTTTTGTCAACCAGTAATGTCAACTGAAATTGGATTTGCTTGAAAAAGGGTTAGGGGTGATCAAACCAGAACCTATTATCAGACCATGAAGTCTTTGACAGTTGGTTTGAACCAGCAACGTAGGAAGGTTTCAACTGCCTGGTGTGGATTCTTGGGATACAAAGAACCAATGGTTAGATACTTTTGGTAATATGGCTAATAATCGTTCTCAGTGGCGTAGATAAGTTCACTGATTTCACCCACTTCCAAAACCGTCATGTTCTTCCATGTTCCTAGCCTTCTACCTTAGGAGTTATTGATTTAATTTTTATTCTCTCTTTTTGTCTACCTTTTTGTGTTACATCAATTGTAGCAGCTTAAACTGCTGCACTTTTGGGCAAAGTCCCATACTGAAATCCAGTCAGTCATCTTATGAATTCTACAATTTCTCATTTTTAGGTACATATTTATGTAGTGGCTAACCGTAAGATTTTGTATGAGCATTTCAACAACCAGATTTGACTAAAAACAAGTGATTCTCTCAGAAAGATTCTGCATAATTACTAACTGTTCAGAAAGCCAAGACATTTTGATGGGTACATCTTGTTCCAAAAAAGTGTGAGTCTGCTGATGAAATATTTTACCATCCCTAAAGATGATATGCAGAGATGAAATGACTGATCATTGTTAGTATTTTAATTTATTCAATAATATCTGTAGTAGGATATTGGTTACATATTTACTAGCATTTGCGTCGGTGTCACAGCAGTGGAGTGCTCGCCAATCAAGCATGTGGTCCGGGGTTCGATCCCCGCCTCATACATTCCTTTACCTCACTAAGCCAGGGATAAGACCGGTAAATAGAGAAATTTGGGTATGAGGAGGCTAGCAACCCCATCCCGTAAAAATAAACATCACCACTGCTACCTAAACTTCAAGCTTCTAACTTGAAGCTCTATATTCCACTGGGAACGTAAAGGGATCAATAATAATAATATTTACTAGTACCACATAATGGAATCTACAGTGACTAGTGAACAACATTCTAGTATTTGAGATGACAAGCACTTGTTCCATAGGGGGAACACAAGCACTCACTTGTATGCAGAATAAAGTGAAATGTACATTCTTGATTTTATCGCCACCCACTATCAAACAACTAATCACAATATGTCTATGAACAAAACAAGGGTCTGTATAAAAAGATGGATTCCTTAACTCTGTCTTACATGTCACCAACAGAATACACTGGAATTTCTATTACCAAACTTCCCAATGAAAGTTAACTTCTGAACAAGTTTTAACTTAAATGACCTGAACAACACGTTTCAGACATATTAATCACATCCATAATTGTGATACATGCTAGCATAAAGGATGAAAATTGTATCAATATAGGTCAAAAGGTCTAAGGCTCACGATGATGTAGAAGAATGGGGTAAATAGTCAAAGAGTTTGTGGGGGAGGGGGTGAAACAGTTATTAAGTGAAATGAACAATAAGTAAGTAAAACAACTAATTTTTGTACATATAAAACAAGTTTAAGGCATTTTAATAGCTCAGGCTTGAACGAGTTTAAATATACAACCCAAACCTGGTTTAAAGGCCCTATTCATATCAACTCTATGATTTGTCTTGCAATAGATGAAGTTAAATGATTTCGTTTGTTCTTTAAACCCCCTTAGGAATGTGTTATGGTAGCCCTAATCCTCAGAAATCGATGAGTCATTCCTGAGTAGTTATACTGATTAAATTTTGATCCTATACACACGGTTACCTTATATATAAATACGTGTGACAAAGTTATTTGTAATCAGGATCGCCAAAATAGGTCAAACGAACACATTACACGTTTCAAATGTTGTTCTGTTGAAATTCATAAATGGAAACTAATCGCTTTATATTTCTGAAGGAAAACAGACACATTAAGAAATAACTAAATACAGCTTCATAATGTTGTGTGTGTGCTACTGACAAGATTAACAAGTAATATATAGATGCAGATTGATACGAAGCGGCCAAACAAGTGAAATCAACATTGCAAGTTAATCATTGAAGATGTAGAAATGTTAATTCCTCAAATCTGGGTCAAGTTTACTATATGGACGTAAAATAACCTCATAGGACAACTTTTCGTCTCAGCGTCAAACGATTGGCCAATCACCAACCAATCAGAACATTTTATTCTCTTGTGACCCAGCCAACTTCTAATGTGGCTCTAAACGTATAACCACAGCGTATTATTCGTTACTAAAAGTCTGTTACTAAACCTCTCATCTCCCACTGCTGCAAAACATCAACTACATCAAGCCATATTCAAGTGCATATAGTTTTTTTTAAATAATGAAAAGTAAAAAAATATCACTTTTAGTAAGTTTATTCAGCAGAAGACAAACAAACACACGAATAATACTCTCTTATTTGTAAAAGAAATACCATGAGATATGAATAAAAGGAAATAACTCTTTTCATATATTATTATATACTCATATGACCATACAATTAGCTCTATTGAATGCCATTTCTAATGTACTACAATTAGAACCCTATTTATTTATTTATTAGACAAAAATATATCCGAATCAGTGAGAACTACGTGTGAAGACATTTCTAGCAAACAAAATATGGAATGAAAGAAAGGATTATAAATTTCACAAAAAAAATCTTTTAAAATTGTTTTACAACAAAGAAGAATGAAAAAACAAAAATATGTACATAGCATGAAACTTAGAAATAGAAATACATTTGAGAATTGTTTTGTTTTTTCTTACTTCATGATAACTTTGATTAAAATAGGTGTTTATTTTTTCAAAAAAAATATATATACTGCATTATTCAGACTTTAGTCTCAGAAATCTTAATTTTTATTCGATGCCAGCAATTTGTCAGTAGGCCACGTACATTCAGTGAAGCTGTACATTCTTCTGGTTGAGTATTGTAAGCACTGTCAACAGCTGAGCATACCAGTTCTATTTCATGACTACCTTCTAAAATAGTAAGCCAACATCATATATATATATATATGTTACAAAAACACAATTATAGGAAAAGGAATTAAAAATTATATTGATCATAATTTTCAAGAGTTGTTAGTTTGTAGGGATGTGATTTGCTTCAAGTTTGATTACGGTTCACTTAGTCTATTAGAGAAGCATTGCAAATGAATAGATACTGAATAGCTGTTTCATCCAATTACTTTGAGACTCTTCGTTCGTACGCACCGACTACTGTACCAGGGTTAAGAAGCCAAGGTCATTTATCATTCAGCTAAATGAGTTGGAATCCAACGATCAGTGATGCTCACAAGTGACTGATCACAGGAGAAAGTTTCCGTGAGTTATCATAAGAAGTCGCAAACAGCTTGGATATGAGCAGAAGTACTCTCCGATGATATTGGCTAGTAGAGGCGGTAATGGCCACAAATTGTTAGAAGTTAGAATTTATAGGTCGTTGAATCATGGCGCAAGCGGCTGACTGATCAACGAGCTTGGTCTCATAACCTGAAGGTCCGGGGTTCAGTCCTTGGTGGTTCGTAGGCACGCATTGCTGAAGAGGTATAAACGAGGGCGAAACAGCTCTCCAGCACTCCCTAATTCTCTAACTGAGATCAAACAGTGATACATTATTTATTAGGACTTCGAAGACATTTTATCGAGATTTTCTAGCCTTCCACTTGACTCTCACTTCCACTCGTTTCCTTCTTAGACATGATTTGGTCTTCCAATCTTTGTTATTTGACCACAGACATTTCATTATCAGACATGATGATATGTTTATCACTAGCTTAATTAAACACTCACTAATTAAAGCTCATAATATACAAAGTAAAAGTTATGTTAAAAAATTAGAAAATCCCATTCAAATGTGTAATTTGTAATCATAGACTGAAGTTCAAACTAACATTTTCCAGACATCAATTTATATTTGAAACGCAAACTAATAACATAAAACCAGGCAAAATAAAAAGCGAAGTACAAGCGCTTAGATTGCAAGTACCATTTATGCCAATTGATAATCACGCTTTATTATATCGTACTGCTATTTCTTAGTAATGATAGAAGTCTATTATCTTAATAATAATCACCTGCATTTTTACTCAGTTACTAGTCTGATAAAGGAAGGTAGAATGAGCAATGTTAAAGCTCTTAGGTAAGAAGTGTAACCTTATCCATAATATTGTAAGCATTCATTGATTTTATTTATAGGGATATATGTTAGCCCTACCACACCGATGCTTCACTTGACGAAGAGAATGTCAGCTACTGTCGTTTACCTGGTTTATATATATATCACCCAAAATACAGGCCTTCAGACATAAAGAGGAATGATTCAGTGATATTTTCTCGATACGATAACATACAACATTTTTAAGGAATAAATATAATTCATAGATACTTACCAGGAATTGGAATTTTCGCAGACCACATTGTCCAAGCCCATTGCTTCATACTACGATTTTCCGCAGGAGAATTATTCTTCAAATCGTTATCAGGATGCCCTTCTGCAGGAGGACTTACAGGTGTTAATTCAGCCTCATGCCAAGACTTGCCATTATCAGTGGAAACGCGAACAGAAATAATTCCACGCCCACCTCCACTAAATGCATAGCTGACAACACATAAAGCATAAAAGAAACTCAGCAATCGACTAGGAAGAACTGCTTTCAAACTAATGTGTTTTGACTACAATTTGGTCAAAATACAGCATTTAAATCATTTCATTCGAGCAGGTGAAGTATCTGTCATGCTTGAAAATTTTTTTTAGCTTACTAGGTTGAAATTCACTGACTAAAATCTGCCTCGAAAACCCACCACGACGTCGTAAAATCCAAATAAACTGTTTTTAATTAATATGTACAGAAAATAAACATCTGGAGATAAGTTAAAAATCCTTGGAAAGTACAAAAGAAATAAAACACCCTGATACTATTAAAACATTTTTGTTTTATTAAAACCTGCTGTCAACTTAAATAGATTCTCTGATGTTAGATGTTCTCTTGGAATCCGTGGGGAATATAGGGCTTCCACATCACATCTCCACTCTATTCTAGTTTCTAAGGTCTCCTTTAGCTGGCCCACGGTTGCCCGTAGTCTCTCACCCGATCTTCTTCATGTCACTTTCGGACATCCCTCTCGTCATTTCACACTAGGGTTCAACTCGAAGCGCAAACCTGGCGCCCAATGTTGTTCGACGGTCTCTCTTCAACGACCCATCTCCATTTCTTCCATGTATTTACTTAACAACACCTTGTTGGCTGGTTTATCTGTAGAGTTTCTTATTGCTAGAGAGTTGCAGACACTCGGCAGGAAGCACTAAACCTAGGTTTCCTGCTTGCTGTCACTCGCCAGTAAGGTGGATCTGATGGAACTAATGTCCCTTCTGAGATCTGAACGCTGGTTACCCTAAGCTGTCGACTGACCTCGTGAAGGATTGTATTGGAGACTTTGATTAGTCATCAGGTAGTAGCTAATGTCATGCATCTAGTCCTTGAGTGATCGAATTCACTCTGCACCAAACTAAGGACTAGACGCACGACGTTGGTTATTGCCAAGTGACCAACCAAAATAAGTTCTTTTTCATAACAGAGGGCAATCAATTTAAATAACATTCTATAATCTTTTCGTGAACGCAGTCACCAAAATAACATTTCCAAATAAAACAGCATCAAAATGGTGTGCAGAAAAGAGAAATGAAGATAAAACATGATAAACGCTTTTAGCACCTACCCAGATACAGTAATAGTACCAGTATTTTCTATAGTATGACCATCAGAAGGTGTACAAATGAGTGATTGAACAGGATAATCTAAAATAGCTGGCAATTGACTCGTAGAAGGAATATGGCCATCGGCCATTGGTAGGACATATTTATAGTCTCCTTGTTGCCAAAAGCTTTCACTTTCATCTGTTGATAAAGTGATCTATATAGAAGAAAGAGAGAAAAATAGGTGGCACTTCCCCAGAATTCAGAATTCAATGGCCATTAGATTCTATTCAAGTGCCTGAATGGTCAACAACCTCAGCTTGTAACCAGAAGATCCTGGTTCGGATCCCCCAATGGTGGGGTAATGAGTGTATTCAAATGAAGACACCCAAACTAAGATAAAATAGTACTGTCTGGGATACCGCGGTTTTCCGCTGTTCTTCGAATGAAGTCAACTTGTGATCACATTTGAAGTAAAATAATGTCTTGCATAATAATACTCTTTGTGAGCGACTTATCATGGCAATTTTGTGATTGAACTCACATAATTTGATGAATACCATTATTATTCTTTTGTCATCGAAGAGTTAAATATGGTTTATATATGTATAAACTGTCGTGAGAAATTATCTTCTCACAGGATTATACAATGAAATGTTTAGTCATTTCAGTTTGGTCAATACTAATGTATTCTTTTCTCTCTTTCTCTCTCTTCAGTTCAAGCAATAACAACAAAGATGGACTTGTTATCACATAGTTTGAGAATTGTATAAAAAGCTAAATTACTTTGACCCCAATTTAATAGATTTGGTCAAGAAAATAATTTAATAAGGTGATCTAAATGTGTAACCAAAGAGAGAAGGCAGAAAACAAACGTGTCTTATGTCTAAATGAATCAATTTTAAACTATTACTGTAAGCATGATATGATATTAACGGAAATAATTGCTTTGACTCATCTTTTTTTTAAAAATGGATAAAGTTATTGTGATACACAGTAGTGATGTAGGTAAGTCTTTGTCTTCGAATCCGATTCGGAGGGTTTCAACTTCTAATTAGTTAGTCTGGAATTTAGTCCTTATTGACTTGTAGATTGATATCTGAAAAAGCATTAATACATCATATTGCTAGTGGCTTAGATAAATGGCGAGAAGACGTTGTACAAACACTGTATTTCTAGTGCGCTTTACCAACTCATAACAGCTTTCAGTTATCCAGTACTCCGCTAAGTTACTGAAGAATGTAATGACATACTTTTGAACTGGAATTCCTACACAGTCATCCAAATGTATTTTAAAGGCTGAGTAACACGCTTAAATTCTTAAACCTTCCTCTCAAGAAATGGTTCAACACTTGATTTAGGTAGGTGAAAAAGTGTTCATATCGACATAAACGAATCTAGAGCATAAACAGACTCTACAGTAATACGATAATGAAAACTGTTCACTACCCAAAAAGCTATCTAGTAGACAATAAAGTATGATCGTTTTCAAAATCGAATAAGCCTATCTTTCTGCCTTTCTTATGCAACTATGGTTCAGTGGTAAGATACTCGCCAACCATGCACGTGGTCTGGAGTCCGACTAGCGGGAAATGCACTTCTAAACCTCATCTAGCCAATAGTATACCCGGAAAAGAAGAAAGATTGGGTGTCAGGCTGGCAACCTCAAAGTGACACTACAGCTATTGAAACTTCGAGGCTTGGCTCTCTATTTCCCAATCAGAAGGCAAAGATAAATAAGCAGACTGAATTTAGATTGCCCTCTGCAAATCATGCTAAAAAACACCTATCACCATCAAATATACAATTGATTATTTTATTTGTATCAACTTCGTTTTCGCATCCATGATAGGTTCATTACTCAAAGTAGTGAACTGCACTTGACCATATCTATAAACATTAAGTTCTATAAATTCTTATACAACACATGGAAAAAAGTCAAAGAAGCATCAGGAAGTTTATAAATAATTGAATTTACCTGAGACAACCATTTCACTTGACGTGCTCCAATAGAACCTGGTATAATAATTCTTAACGGAAAACCATGATCTCGTGTAAGTGGTTTTCTATTCATTTCATAGGCAACTATTATTTCCCTGTTTGGATCTAAAGCTAAATCAATCGGCAATGATGACCCAAAAACTCCACCAGTAGGGTCAATATCCAACCCTATATTAAGAAGAAATGAATTAGAGATTTGGTTAATATCTTAATTATAGGGAAGGCGCTCACAAATATTTATATGATAACTGTATTCTGAAATAATATTTTACACTGGTTAAAACCTCAATTAGTTGATCATTCAAAGTTTTATTTTCCACTTGACCATGTCAAACGCTATCAGATTATTATTATTCGCTTGGGTTCAGTGTGAAAAATAAAGCCTCAACAGTATACTCTTATTTCACACTGTCCTTTGCAAATCTTTTTAGCTGATCCCACTGTTACCCACAACATTTCACTTTCTTCTCACACGTCCTGTTCTATGTCACCCTCGTACCCACAACTATCTTGCTGTTTCCCAATCGACTTCCATTCAAAGACCTGGAGTATGATGTCATTTTGAATAGAAGTGAGACGGCAATAGCTCAATGAACAAAATAGTTACGTGGAGCGTGTTCATAAGAAAGATAAGCACAACCTTTCGGGAGTTAGTTGTAGTTAGTACACGGTAACCAGGTGAGTTTTATAGGTTATTTGCTGCAGAGAGAACTAGTCTGGTGTAACTAAGACTGCCAGCTTCAATCCAGCTAAAATCCTAGATTTTCGCATTATCTCATGCATTCAGTTTCTTAAACTACCATTATTGTAAAAAGCGTAATAATCGCAAAGCAAAACTAGAAAAAAATTGTCTTGAAGAAAAAGCACACGGGTACGAAAAAATCAATCACACTACACGGTTAAGCTGTACATGCATGTTTTACCACATAAATCTACTTAATAAACATAAAGCCTATTCTTATGAAATTAGTTTCAACTGATTTATGTCACCTAATAGAGTCAGTCAAAAATATATGCACTAGAGGAAGAAATGCATATATGAGAGGAAAAGGACTAAACAATTCAGAACAAAAGAAAGATATCACACAACACAGCTTTAACATGAAGAGGAATTAGAAGAAAATTAGTAACTATTACTATTAGGAAATTCACTCTGACTGATTAAAAATGCCCATTAAAATTTTTCAAAAAAAATGGATACTGAACAAAGAGTACTCTTTTCGATAACCCCTTCATCATCAGGCTCTACAGTTATATATACATTATAGTGAATGAATGGATGAATTAGTGTTGTGAACAACATTAATGTTGCTGTTTAAATAACATCGAATCAATAATATTGATAGATTACAGTTCAACAGAATCAACGTAACAACAAGCTGAATGTCATAAAAATTAGGAGAGATAATATTACAAATTCATGAATTTATAGTCTCTACTGAAGGCCAGGGCAGTAGTAGAGGCTTGACTTGCTTTTTTTGAACGTAGATCACTGGTTGTTTGAGGCGAATTGCAATAGCCTCTGCTGTTTGGAGCTTGCGGTGCTTCGATAATTTTGTCAATTTATTAGGCACCCGGTAGATTATAGGGGAGGATTCTTCCACGCTGGCTTTGTGGCTGGCTTGCATCATATGGTCCAATATCGAACTGTTAATGGCTTTAACTACAACTTTACTTAGCCATAGTGGGAGTTGTTCTCGAGCACGGCCAATATAACTCGCTCCATAATCACAGTTGAATTGGCAGATACAATTTGAATAGATACAATTCACTTTGCTGAAATGAAAATGTGACTACTACATAGTGTTCAATCAAAGTATCTGTTGTAGTCATATAACCGGTCAGTCGTAAGTCTGAATAGCTCAGTGGTAATGTATCTGACGGCAGCACTGGATGATACGGGTTCGAATCTTATAGGTGATATAAATCCCTTCAGAAATGCAGATACGCCTTGCTGATGAGTGTCAACTAGCATGCTTCCTTCCTATCCATTACCTCCAACCATCTAGCATCAGTTCAGAGTGTACTGCAATGGCACATTGCAAACTTGACTGAGAGAATTCAGTCTGAACCAAACAAAGGACTAGACACATGTCATTAGTTATCATCTAGTATCCAATCAAACAAAGTGTAATTCTTTGTTTATCATGAAACCATGGAGTGAATGAAAAACAACGAGATATGTAGACATCATTTCTGTTTCATACACACATATCATATTGTATACTTCACTTCAAGCCGTTTGATGAATTAATCGATTCGCAAAATAATCTTTCCTTCTAAATATAAGGAAATAGTATGACAAAGTTTGCAATTCAGACTAATTTCGGTGTACATTTTGTCATGAATCGATAGTCATGAGAGAATCACTAAAAATCAGTAGATTACTGAACAGCTGTTTTCCATCCTAGTTTGGGAGGTTTCTAGCAGTGGTCGACTATAAAAATATACTCATCGATGGCACTGAATGGTCGTAATGCTATTTTCCAAATAAACACGAGGTGGAATTCAGCCCATTGGCTAAATGATCAATGGACTGGTCTCTTAACCTGAAGATCGTGGGATCATTCCCCTAATGGGATCGTGAATGCACACACCACTGAAGATCCCAAAACTAGGACTACCTCACCAATTCTAGTTCGTACGAAGTCTACATTGAATGTTGACAACAACAACAACAACAACGCTGAACATAAGTAAAAATGGTGAATATCACTCCACTGACGAAGTAAACAGAACAATCCACATGAAACTTGCAGACCTAACAAATCACCTAGGAAAGAGGTTCTTACATTTGTAAAATGTTTTAGTTCCCTATAAGCTCTCACCTGTGGACTGAAATAGTTAGTATTAGGTTTCCATAAAGGTTGAATTATGTCTATAAAACTGAGTCATCTGACTACGTCTAAACTTAATTATCAATATGTGGATATAGCAATAATTAGTGATCTGCATCTATTCCTAATTAGGGTAGAATTTAGATACAATTCTACATTTATCGTTAGAAACAAGCCACACATATCTGTTTAGCATAAGTAAGGTCATACAGATCCTTGCTCGAGTTCGAGGTAAAGATGCAGCACTGCCTTAACTTTACTAAAGCTTATTATTCCGCTACCTACGATAATTTCCAATAAATTATTAAGAGGGGAATTCTCCCGAACGTGATAGTTGGGATTGTGAAACTCAATAACCCCATGAGTTATACTGGATGAAAAGAGTGTTCCCGCAGGTTGTACTACACCAAAAAGATCGGTTTGTCTTGTTAACTACAGGTACCATTGTAAAGTACAGGCAAAAGAAGAAAATATCATAACCTGAAGTGGGTTTTAAGCACAAGGCCGTAAAGCACGCCAATCAAGTAAGGGGATACTGATTCCAATAAACTTATTTAGTGCCATCACGCATGCTGAGAAACTTATAACATATACAAGATGGGATATTAAACAACTATAGTTATTTTAATTCAACTTTGATTTTCTCGTTGACTGACTGAACCGAAATTTTGTGCCTCAGTTGACATACTTACTATGAGCACAGATGCTATGACGATGTCTTACGATTAACTTGAAGTAACTTGATGAATGGTGTTTGAAACGGTGAGTACCACGTTCCAGCCTCAATGGGAACACCACAAATAGAACAAACGGAGCATCTCGGATTTCATTGCTAGTCCCTATTCACTAAATTAATTGCAGGTTTTATTGAAACATGAAGCTGTTCGCATTACTGTAGAAAAAATCAGATCTGGAAATTTGAGAATCATAAACTAATTAAAGATACCCAATAGAAATTTTACAAAGACTGACTTTAGTGAACAAAGAATATTCTTTTTGATAACTTCACCTTCATCAGGTTCTATAGTCATATGACTACGATAATTGAAGAATTACTGTTATAAGCAACTTTAATTTGTTGTTTTTTTCAAAAATAACATGCAATCAATAAGACGAATAGATTACAGTTCAAAAGCATCTGAAATTGTAATGTACATATAAACGTAATATTTCACCGCATATCAGATAAGTTACATAAACAATAATACACAGTTTATGTATTTCAATAAAACAAGAACAACAAATTGACCAAGATAATCTGAGCTTAAATTTTATTTTTTGGTTATTCCATGGATTCTTCTGAACTAGTTACAGCCTGAACGATACCAAGATTATAAATTTTAAAATTTCTCTACAATGATAAGAAGTAATTGATCGGAACTAAGAGTAACACTGATCAAGAGTACATTGGTAGGACGCTAGTCAGTAACCAGTGCAGTGTGTCTAGTCCTTTATTTTGGTCCAGACTGAATTCTATTAGTCAAGTTCGCTATGCTGTCAGCAGTCTAAGTGGCTCGCCACCACGGTGTACTTTCGATTGTTGATATTAGATGGTTGAAGACAATCGGCAGGATGCCTAGCTGACGAGTGCCAACTAGCACGAAACCTAGTTCAGTGACTAGTGTCCAGCCAAAGTATTCCTGACCAATGTTACTCTTAGTTTTAATCAACTACCTCCTATCAGTGTAAAAAGAAGTATGTTCAGATCTTCAATTTAATTTTAACTTCGATATCGTTTAGGTTGTAACTAGTTTAGAAGAATTCATGGAATAACCAAAAAATAAAAATTTAGCTCAGATTATCCTGTTGCATTTGTTGTTCTTGTTTTATTGAAATACATAAATTGGGTATTATTGTTTACTTAATTTATCTGATATTCAGTATTATATTACGTTTTTATGTACATTATCAATTTCAGATGCTTTTAAACTGTAACCTAGCGGCTTCCTATCGTTTGTCTCCAACCATCTAATATAATCGAATCAATGTACAGCGTGATGGAGATCCCCCTAGACTGCTGGCAGCATAGCGAACTTGACAGATAGAATTCAGTCATGACCAAGACAATTTATTGCTCATAATCATATCAAGGTACTCACACAACTTTCTAACTTCGTTTGCATAATTCCATTATTTTTCATCGTTTGATTTGATTGGTAGTAGTATTTTCGGTATTTCCAGTATGAGTAATGAGCCATTCCTATTACATGTGTTGGGTGTAGACTCGATGAACAAGAATTCAGTAATCAGCCTCTCTCTCCGCCTACCTAGATTACGTTTTAGAATTTTAACCCTCTCCCACCTTACTGTGTGGTCGTGTGTTAATGCATA